AAGATGAATCCAATTGAAAGGTAGTGAGGTGTTTAGTGAGGCTAGTTCAATAGTGCAGATAAAGTCGAATTTTCTTTTGAATTCTTCGAATGTTAATTCTTCTATACTATTATATTACAAAAAAATTAAATGAATTAAATGAATTAAATGTAAGAAAAATATTATAGAGAGATGATAATGAATTCAATAAATAGAAATGATAAAATAGGATAATTACCTGTTATAATTTACAACAGCTCTTGAATCTTCATCATCAGTATGAATAAAATATGTGGTCTGAGGATGTGCTACATACGGCCTAAATACGCAGGTTGTAGTTTTAATATTACGTGATTCGAAATCTTGTATGAAAAATCTGAAATTATTAAAAAGAAAAAAAATTTTTTTTTGTTAATTCTACTGAATCATTGATTATTGCTAATATTATTGTTAATATTATTGTTAATATTAACAGATCAAATATGAACACTCACTTCGAAGCCTCTTTAGAAGCCATAGGAGCCATGACCCAAGCCTTTGTCGTGGGAAATTGGGATAAAACAGCAAGAGTGTTTCCAGCACTACCACCAAATCTTTTTTCGATTTTTTGGGTTCCTTGCATATTATCCACCGAATCTAATTTGTCAACATAAAGTACAATGTCTTCATGAACTGGTCCTATTACAAGTATTTTTAAAGGTATTTGCCTATACTTTGAGACCATTTTCTAATATTTGTTTTACAAATTTTGCTAAAAAAAAATTTTTGATTTTTTTTTATTTTGTCTTTAAAATTTTGCTAAAAAAATTTGTTTTTTTTTCTTGCTAAAAAAAATTTTAGATTCTTTTTTACTTGTTTTTCGATGAATGGATTTATATATAAATTTTTACTAGTTCGAAACAACATGAGCGACACATTTAGTCATCTGAGTCACCAATACCAAAAATGCATCTTTGAAATATTCAGCGATCCTTTCTAATCATTACCAATTTATGGTATTGTATGAATTACTCAGTTGCATTAAAACTTTAGGATCATCTAATATTATTGGTGATAAGTAAGACTATTCTACAATCATATGTAGTCCTTTCATTATACTGTGGATAACCAACATTAATGACAATTTTTGACTAGTAAAATTATTTAACGGATCAAATTTGGTAGTTTTACACAATAACACATGCATAAATTGAACGATTATCTAGGTTAGAAATTGCAAAGTATGACGTTTACTCCATTAATTTTATAGTGATGGTAAAAAAAAGGTTACAACAATTGAATTAAATAAATT